CGAAGGGTGGACAAAATGTTCAATCAACCACGCACCTCAGGTAATGCTCCAACGTCACGCTACCATTATTGGCTCGGCTGGAACTCATCCAAGCTCCCCCACAGCCCGAACTTCAATGATAACTAATAAATTACTTGGATGATATCCGTAGGAACCAGTTTATATCTAGCTTTGGATGATAGTGTATCCACATGTGGTGGAGTGGAATGAAATATAATGAAATTTAGTTCAATTTCACTCTAATCTACTTCAACACATGTGGATTGAGATGAATACATGCGTATACAAACAAGGCCTTAATCCATGTGTATTGAGGTGGAATTTAGTTTTGGTAATGCTTCAGACGGACGAGTCGGACGCACCTCCGCGAGCTCACACCGTGCCCGCTCCCAAGTGCCCCCGCGCGCCCGCACCCCCACCGGAGACGAAGACGACGACGGCAGCTCCGACGAGATAGGCTTGTTCCTCCTCCTGGATCTGTGCCCTCAGAGACGAAGATGGCGGCGGCAGTGGCTAGAGTTTCGGCGAGCCTCTCCCCCTCTTTCTTCTCCAACTCCGGCGCATGTAGAGGGGGACGGAGGCAGGCAGGCCAGGCGGTGGGGATGGTGGTCGAGCGGTTTAGGGGCCTGGCGGTCGGCCCAGGTCAGGGCGGGGGAGTCTCGCCGGAGTTGGAGAAAATGGCGGTGGCTAAGCTCGCTGGAGTTGGAAAAGATGGCGGCGGTTAAGGGATGGGGAGGGGAAGAAAGAGGCCACCGCAGACATGGTGTAGGGTCTCGCCGTAGCTTCGCGGCCGCGGCCGCGGCCGTGGCCGCTACGACGGAGCTCCGGTGAGACCCTACCGCGCCACCACAGTGGGTAGTGGGTGACGGGGCGGTGGCCGGCGATGGAGGGGGACGCGGGGCACGGGAGAGCTGTCGTCTAGTTTAGGATTAGGGTTTACGTAATTTCCCTGCGAGCGTTAGATTATTTTCTGAAGCCGTTAGTAGCTGTCCAGTGTCCACTGCCCGCGCATGTACTCCCATTTCTTTGCAGAACTAGACTATCTAATCAATGATCCGCGTCGATTTGCAGAGCATTGTCTCAGGGGTGAAAATGCTCGTAGGGAAAAATTCAGATATATTTGTGCCCAACCCGGCCCGGCAACAACTCCACGGCCCACAGCGCAGGCTTAGCCATTGTGATCAGAAACCTTCGCTCGTAACAGGCCCCTTGTCACGAGTGGTGTGGCCCATTGGCTTCTTTTGGTGAGAAACCTAACAGGCCCCTTGTTACGAGTGGTGTGGCCCAAGCGAGAAACTCGGCTTGGCAGGCCATGACCATGTGATGATAAGACCTTCTGTTGGCCCGAACGCAGCAACGAGGCCTTGTAACGTCTCATCAGTGGGCGACCTATTGAGATGAATCTTGGGCTGGACCTATTGAGATGAATCTTGGGCTGGGCCGACTATAAGAGCTCGGCCTCGATCATGTGCGCACAGAGACTGGCTGCTGACAGGTTCGAAGTTGTGACCGTGGCCAGGGCATTTATATCGGCGTTCTCCTAAACGGCTTCACGTAGTGCACCTAATTTTAAAACGACTTAATAGATAATACTTACTTTTTTAAATTATATTATAATACCTTGTAATTTCTTAATTTATATATAGGCGTGGCTAGCACTTGATGCTAGCTCCCATCCAGACACCGCGCTTGTGTCGCCTGCTTCTCCCGTCCTGCCTGTCAGACATGATGCTAAGCTTGTCCTGCCTTTTCTATAAAAAAAAAGGCCTGCTCCACATGCAACTCTGCGCCTGCCCACCCGCCCCTGCATGCTAGTGCACCTACGCATCTAGTTGTGTGCCTCATGCCTGCGATACCCGCCTAGTGCCTCCTGATGCCTGCCTCGTGCCTACTGATGCGCATGCAGGTGGGACTGCTATGCCTGCGGGGACCGCATTTGCATGTGCCCACTTCCTAAGCGTGCTAATGTTGCAACATAAAAGCATTTCTGCAACGTATGTCTGAAACAGGTGAAACATTTACAAACATACGTTTGCAACATATGTGTATAGCAACTACAACATCCAGATAAAACACATTTACAACATACGTCTGAAAACAGATGAAACATTTTGAATAGACGCTTGCAACATATGTCTGAAACATATGCAAACATCCAGATGAAATATTTGCAACATAGGTCTAAAACAAGTGGAACATACACGTACAACATACATGTATAGCCACTGCAACATATGCAATATCCAGATAAAACATTTGCAACATACGTTTGAAACATTTGAAATATACACTTGCAACATACGTGTATAATCATTGCAACATATGCAACACCAGATCTACTTTACAACATCTAGATGAAACATATGCAATATACATCTAAAATGGATAAAACATACGGTTGCAACATCTGCTCATGTACTCGCTGCCGCCCAATGGAGGATGGTTCACACGACGCGCGGGGGGAGGGGGGGAGGCAACGCGAGGCGTGGGCGGCGTGCGGCGCGAGCCGCGGACAGGCGGGGTGCGTGGCACGAGGCGCGGGGCGCACACGGTGCGAGGTAGGTCTGGTGCAACCGTATGAGGTGCAAGGGTTTTTTAGGAAAGTGCGAGGCGCGAGAGGCAGGGTGCACGCGCGCGAGGCGGGAGGCGCTGGGTGGTTCCGTCCCGTCTGAATGGACGGACATCCTGATAAGCATTACCGTTTATATATATAGAATAAAAGTAAAATTGTGAGTTTTTTTTGTATGATTACACGGTACAACGTAGACAATCATATTGCACACTCGCCTCTATGGATTTACGGTATACAAACCCACCTCTATGAGCATCTTTGATGACTGGATCAAGAAATCCGATTGACGAAGTCACTATAGGCACCCGTAAAATTGTGAATTGTATCTTGCATAACAACAACTTATGGAATGGTACAATATTTGTTTCATAGTCCTATATTTCAACTTAAGAGACGATTGTTTCATGAAACAATAACTTCATTTTTCTTACTCTTCTCTTTGTTTCTTTACGTAAGCAAAAAAATCTACGTGACACTGCTTGATACAGAGTATGAGATCGCAGAGACGTAGCAATATACTTGCCCTGACTGCTTCGGAGTCCAGAGCCTGTGGACTGAACCAGTGCGTGCGAAGTGCGCAGGATGCCGTGTGAAACTGAGGACCTGTCGGAGAAAATGAGCAACAGCCAACAGGTGACCTTCCCCGGGCAACGCCTTTGTTCTGTTTTCCTGCCCAAACAGTGAGGAAAATGATGAAAACGAAGTTGTCAACAGCAACTAAGGCCCTCTTCGTTGTACCGTTTCAGCGAAATAGCAGTATTTTTTTCTCTCACAATAAATTAACATCAGCATCCACATCAGCCGTTTTTTTCAGCCAGCTGAACTGGACGAAAGACAGTTGTGTCATGTAACTTTCGTGTTTGGTGCAGCAGAGAAATTACATTACATTGATTTTATTGACTCTGTTTTTTTCCCCAGCACTAGAAGCCATCTTCTACACGGACCAGTGTTGACAGGCATGGAGTACCTACAGGCTACAGATCTTCCGTGATCCTATTCCTACCACTTTGCTATCACGTTTCTGTGATCGGGTATCGTTTGATGATACTCAGGCTGTAGGTGATGGTAAACTACAGAAGAAGCACATTATGACCCCGTTCGGCTCGCTGAAACTTAGCTGAAACTGGTTGAAAAACATTGTTCTAGCTGAATTGTTCTAAGAGAAAAATACTGTTTCATTTAAAAAAACAAGCCGAACAAACCGGTTTCCGGTAAGCTTTGGTATCTCTGTGTTGGGCAATTAGGCGGCATCGATCGCCGGGATTTGATGGACTCCAGACAACCATTCCCGGTCCCGGCGGAGTTGAGCAACTGATCAACGCGGACAGCGACAGCGAGCAAATGAAGGCATTTCACCTCCCCCGGTCTGCCTCCGCTCAGGTTCGGTATGCCGTTTCTTCTATGCGTGGGCAGCGTGGCCACTAACTTTGTACCCATGTACTGTGCTACTCGTACACGATAACAAAGGCAAGAAGAAGCAGACCTGCCGTGCCTAGCCACTGAGGCTGACGTTTCTACGAAGAACCATACCATGCAACGCGTCGACGGCCAAATCCGGGGAACAACGGGGAGTGCCCTGGTTTTGTAAAACCTGGAGCAGATCGATGCTTTATGTGCTTTTGCCTTTGCACTGTGAGTGCAGGTGCCAGGTCGCGCCACTGCCTTCCACTTTTTCCACGAGATCACCAGCCAGTCGACGATTTCTGATCGTGTGTCGTCGTTTTCGTTTGCTTCACAAGCGGTCGCATCGGGCTGGGCCTTTTTCCTCGGTTATTCGGGGCCTCCCTTGGTTACGCCCTCTGCTGCTCTGCCATCACGCCTGTCCCTTTCACCGGGCGGCGGGATCACTCGCGGTCGCTGGCAGAGCGACCCCGCAGCTCCCGCGACCCGAAGCAACGCAGGCAAGTACCTCGCGCGATTCGATATTTCGATGCGTGTGAACGAATCGATTCGGTCTGGAAACTCGCAAGAGGCCCCGCCCGGGGGAGGCGCCACCGCGGCAGACCGCCACCGGCCGGCAGCCTGTTCGCTTGCTCGTAAACGATCGTAAATTTTTAGTCGGAAATAGTGTTTTTCTCTCACACCAAATCAGTCAGCAGTAAATAATCCACGATACGATACGGTCTCCCGAACAGGCTGCGGATTGCCCTGCTCTGCCTCTGCCTCTGCTCGAGGACGAGGTCCCTGCCGTGTGCCGTGTGCAGTTTATTTCTCGCCGTGCCATCAGCACATTAACACAGGAGAGAAATATGGCGCCTCCTTTATTACACTTGAAAATCTTTATCATTCAGTCAAGTGCGTGTCCCTGTTCGTTTACTGAAATAGCCAAAAAGCCGCTGCGTCTCTCATGGCCCGCGACACGTACAACCTCCCCAAGAAAAAAATATTGAGGCAGCACGTACCGAGAGTTATCGTGTTTGCTGTTGAATCAGTTGGCGCAAGCTGCGAACGCAGAGCTTTCTTTGCCTTGGTTGGTAGATGGCGCCTCCCGGCCTAAAGGCCAAAACCAACCCTGCAAAACGAAAAGGGCGTGCCGAGCTGACGCCCGTGCTCGCTCGCTTGGTCTGGTAGTAACGTATCCAAGACGGAGCTTGAAAAGAGCCTTTGCCGATCTTCCGTTCCAAGTTTTTTCACTCTCTTTCCATCACATCAATTTTTAGCCGTTTGCATAGAGCATTAAATGTAGGTAAAAAAAATAACTAATTACACAGTTTAGTTGAAAATCACGATATGAATCTTTTGAACTTAGTTAGTCCACGATTGGACAATATTTACCAAATAAGACGAAAATGCTACTATTCATCAGTTTGAAATTTTTTTTAATCTAAACAAGTCCCTAGTTTCCGGCTAAGGCTGAGTGGGCCGAGGCGCTGGGCAGCTAATGCTAGATCCGCCTACTATGTACTGTACTGTGGGAGTGGGACTGTATGTAGCTTGTAGCCCTGTGCTCAGTTTGGCATTGCGCCAAGTTACAAATCGCAGCAAGAGGGAAAAGAAACAGCTAGTTGCATAGAGCTGATTGATCTCCAGAAAGCAGAAGAGGCAGGCAATCGACACTGCCACAGTGCCGCAGTGGCTCTACATGTAGCCATTAATGAGCCTGTTCGCTTGTTGGTTTCAGCCAGCCCAAACCAGCAACCAACAGTGTTTTCCTCTCACAAAAAACCAGCATCGGCCTCACAAAAAACCAGCATCCAGAAACCATCCATTTTCCAGAGTTCATCTTTTTCACTACAATCATAGCTTTGCAACCAACTCTAGTTATCATTCTCGGGCGCTTTGTTTTCCCTTCATCTGTCATCACTTTCTTGGTCCGAACTTCACGGAAGCCTTCCTTGGAACACACAATCTGGCGAGAAATAATTGAATTATCACGCCTTGAACGGCAGTATCTACTAATACGTGCACGAAAACCATTTAGCCTTGCATAGTTTACATAGAAAAATTTTGCAGCTTCTTCCGATTCAAATTCCATACCCTCAAATGGCTCCTCAACAGGGTCCGCCTCAATAGAATGTGGCTTCTCGATTTGATCGCAGTCCTGATCAGCTGGCCTAGAATCAAGTCTTCTTGGTGGAACTGGTCCATGATTGTGGTTCTTTACGAATTTGGTAACCATCCATTTGCCAGGATCAAACTTTTTAATTAATATCATTGCCTTGCAACCAACTCTAGTACCTGCCCGTTCTTGATGTTTTTGTTCAGAATGGAGGCCATCACAAGCACGGGTTTCATGAAATCCCTCTTTTGAACACACAATTCGACGAGAAATAACTGAATTACCACGTCTGGAGCGAGTATACCTGCTTATCCGAATTCGAAAACCTGCACTTCTTGCATATGTGCTGTAGAAATCCCTTGCAGCATCTTCAGACTCAAATTCCATTCCTTCATAAGGTGTTAATTCTGTGTCATCTTCAAGTCCAATTAATTTTTCTACTTCACAATCATGTGCTAGTGAAGTCTCAGTAGCTCTAGGCACCTCTGTTAAAGAGTGCTTTTGCTCACTGCCTGGTTTTGACTCACTAGCTGTTCCCATTACTGTCCCTTCCATGACCACCATCCACCGTCACAGAACTATGTAGATTTTTTAAACATCTCTCATGAACTTTCACAAAAAGAATGCAAGCACAAAATCACCAAAACAGCATCTTAGCTACACATCAGGACACTCATTGTGTTCAGAGGTTGTTCAGATATGGCCCTACCCGATGGTATGAGGAGTGAGGCACTGTAACAAGATTCAAAAAGTAAATGGTATCGATCAGATGTTGGAGCAAGTGCCAAATGGAATCAAGCCTTGCAAAGTAAAGGGAAACAACTGAATAGACATAAACCAACAAATTTGCTCAAACAAATTGAAGTAGCAAAGGTAATTCAGTTCCTCAGGCAGCATGCCAAAAGGTATGCATAAAGTCTATTTGGGGATCCGATCCAAGAAC